AATGTAGCAGAACATGCCTTTAGTTGCCTTTTTCACGACTAACTGTCAACAGAGTACAGTCAAAAGTCTTTAATCCGGGACTTCGGTGATTCCGGATTATAGATCATCAGTTTAAATCTGGTAAGATGGCATGCAGAAATTATACAATTAAAAATATGAAATCATAATTTATGAAATAAAGAGCAATTGTGATTTAAAGGGTATCAAAATTTAAAAAAAAAAAAAAAAAAAAAAAAAAAAAAAAAACTTAATATTTATTTGTTTACTTTATTAAACATTTCTTTCAACGTGCGCATGCGTACAGCATACATTACATATAGTCAAAATTAGAAAATTGCAACCAGAAAACTATTTTATGAGTATTCGTGATATTTATGAAAGATGAGGAAATTGATTTAAATCATATCAGAGTATATCGAGATGAAACATTACATTTAGTAAGAAATTATAAGCCGAATAAAATAAAAACATCTGCCCTGAAGATGAGGATAGTGCTGAGACAGATCAACTTCCAGTTCATTGCACGTCTCAACGTACCCCCCCCCCACAGAGCAGCGTGAAATTGATAAACAGATTTCGGAATGGTTAGAGAAACAAATCACCTCTCTCTCACTTTCTTCATGGCTTTATCCATTTTTGCAGCAATTCCACTTTTTGTTTAATGGACATCGAAACATGCTTTCGCTTTGTAGATCGTTTGGCAGCTCCAGAATCGGAAATTCTATTTGACATAATTGAAAGTTCAAGCTTACTTTTATAAAATTACTTTAGCAGTCTGCAAAAAATAATAAGCCAGATCCAATTCAAAGATTAAAGAACAACGCAGTCTGCAACATTAACTGAAATAGATAATTAGATAACTTTAGCTTAGCCTATACCGACCGTTATACATTAAACGTGCATGCTTAAACGTAAAATGTGCATGCGTAAAGGTATTACGCACATGCGTAAACGCATATGTGCATGCGCAGAAAGTTTGTAGATTTGAGGTCCGGACTAAAGACTTTTGACTGTATAGCAGACACTAGTTAAGCTTTATGAACATTTCCGTGAATTTGAAAGTTTTTTTGGATACCGCAAACAAAAAATTAAATTTTCAAATTAATGAAATTTGTGAATATTTGTGGTAATAAATAAAAATGACATAAGTTTTTCACTCTGCTGACAATGCCCCAATTATCAATCAACTAACAGATGAAGAAATCTGTAATACGATTCTAAATCCAGAAAATATTACTAGTGATAGTGAAGAAAATGACAGAGAATATGCTGGGAATGAAAAAAAATTGACTGGAAATTTAGTGGGAATTCTCGATGCTGCAATTACACAGCTTGAATAATGGAACTTTGTAACTGAACAATAAATTATGTCTATCTATTGAATTCAAAAAAAAGATTTATACAATGCAGCAGCAAAATCATATCTTCATAACAGCAAAATAACTGCAATGAACATTATTATTTTGCACTACCTAGCTTATATACTCAAAATTTATAAATTCTGGTACTTTTCCTTTATTAACCTGCCATGCCTGTGAAAGAGACAGCAAACACATGCTGAGACCATACAGTTTTACATTCAACTGACATTAAAAATTTTTATGATATATGTCAAGTAATTTAATGATTTTTTATGGTTCATGGAAGCAATTTCAATATACCTAAATTTTACAAAAGATTCAGATATTATTTAAGGTTTAGAAACTTGGTGTACTAATACTATGAAAGGTGAAAATGCAGAATCGCCCACTGCTTGGCACATTTTTAAGAATTGCACAAACTTGATATCCATGTACACATCAACCTATTTTCACTTAAAAAGTCAAAGGGAATTGACAAATATCCCATTCTTCTTATTCTTGTAAAAAGCACCAAATAAGTGGGCGATTCTGTACTTTACCCCAATGAAGTTACTGAGAATCGTAAACAATCATGCTGTACAATTCTAAGTTTGATAGAAAATGATTATTCAATGGAGATAGCAGTACTCCAGAATTGTGTCGGTAATTTCACAGCAACAGCAGTTGGCAGTAAAATTACGATTCCATTTGTCAACTGTCATGACTGACTTAATAAAGAAGTATTAAATCAACTAATAAGCAAACCCAAATATTTCAAAGAACCATATTAAAAATAATAATACAAATTACGAACTAAAAACTTCAGATAAACAGGGATATAAGAAGAGAAATTAATGGAATATTGTTTCCCTCCATTACATTGCAAGCTTAAAAAAGTTTAACCCTCTAAGCGGCGTAGCCGCATATATACAGCCTAGAATATTTATTGCGATATCTGTAAGAGCATTAATATACGTGCATATTAAAATATGTCAACGAAACTAAGGCAATATATCAAAAGAAAACAAATCCAGGTATGAAATACCAGGAGGGTTTTTGCATTAAAATAATAAAAAAAAAATAATTTGTTCTCATAGTAGTTTTGGGAAATTTGTGCTTTCTTAGTGAAACCGCTGGCCACCTAGATGGTTAAACTGGTAAAGCTTCCATTTGTAAAAAATATCATTCATTTGTTTTTTTAATAATATACAGCAATTTTAAGAAGTCTGAAAAACTATTAAACCCTTAAATAGTATTTCAAGCGAAAACTTTAACTACTACAGTCAAAAGTCGTTAATTCGGACACCCCCTCTTGCGTTTATTTTGTTGAATTATCATTGTCGTTGTTCGCATTTGGAGATTTATATTCTTTTTCTCTTATTTATTATTATTTTTTCTGAATTTTTTAACAACGAATAGAAATATTTTGGTATAATTAAAGAAGTTTTCGTCGATAGATGCCGGTTCTCGGCTCCAATTTTCATGGCATAAAATTTTAACAAGATACTATATTGTTAATGCTTTTCTAACAATAACCTTTCCGAGGATGGCAGGTGTGACATAAATAGCTGATTAAATGGAAATAAAAATATTATTAATTATGTAAGATGACAAGGTAGTTTGATGCATCCTTATGGTCATCAAAATTAGCAAACCACTGCTGGTGTAAGGAATACAGTTCAAATGACTCTTGAAAAATAATAAAATGTATATAAAGTTCTAGTTTTTATTAACAATGCTACTGAAGAAAATTTGATTACTGTTGAAGGTTATTTGTATTGTGAAATAGATTATGAAAAAGACAGGTTTATTTTCATATATGACGTTTAACCGGTTAGTTTTACATCTACATGCTTATTATCTGTGAACCTTTACTACCATATGCTTAATATATTGCTTTGTCTGCTAACTTGAATTTACATGCACTAAAAATCACGTTTGCGGCTCGGCTTGGCGAGTAAAAATGTAATGGCGCCAACGGGTTCTCTGCGGATGAAAACCCAAGAAAATTTCTAGACAATCAAAATAATTTTCAGTTTGAGCACACATTCACATAAATTTAATTAACATAATCAATACTATAAGAAATATTACTGGTCCTGAAAACAATCCATATAAATTTGATTGCATTAATTAACATGCTGAGTGCCAAGTAAATCTTTGGTAATGAACAGTTAGATAAAAATTTATGAGCAAAATATAAATTCATTAAGCACAAAATATATATGCGGACATTATAGACTGAAAACTGATTGAAGAAAAATATCTATGGATCCCAGTATAATTCTCACTCTTTGAGATCTGATTTAATATACTCAAAATACTTTTACTTTAAATAAATTGATAAGAATTTTTAATTTTGAAAATTTTAATATTAAATAGCAGGTAATTTTTATTTTCTGAAATTTTGCATATACAGTCAAAAGTCGTTAATTCGGACACCCATAATCCGGACCTCAAAGCTAAAAACTTTCTGCGCATGCGGCGCGTTGACACATGCGTTTACGCGTGCGTGTAAGACCTTTACGCGCACGCGCATATGCGTGTGCGCAAGTGCAGAATACATTTTTGCGTGCGCGTTTAATGTATAACGGACGGTGCAAGCTAAAATTATATAATTGTCTATTTCAGTTAATGTTGATGATTGCGTTGTTCCTTAATCTTCGAATTGGATGCGGCTTATTATTTTTTGTAGACTGCAAAAGCAATTTTATAAAAGTAAACTTGAACTTTCGATTATGTCAATTTCCGATTCTAGAGCTCCCAAAGGATCTACAAAACGAAAGTATGTCTCGATGTCCGTCAAACAAAAAGTGGATAAAGACATGAAGAAGGTGACAGAGAGGTTAGTGAAAACGAAAAAATTTCGATTGACAAGTTAGTCGGTATTCTCGGCACAGCAATTACGGGACTTGTAACTGAACAAGAAATCATGTCTGTTTATAGAATTAAAGAGAAAGTATCATCACATAAAACGAAACAACTTACATTGAAAGAAATGTTTAATAAAGTAAACAAAAAAATATTAAGCTTCTTTTTTTAGTAAATTTTGATACCCTTTAGATCACAATTGTTCTTTATTTCATAAATTATGGTTTCATATTTTTAATTTTAGAATTTGTGCATGCCACCTTACGAGATTTAAACTGATGATCTATAATCCGGAAAAATCGATAATCCAGAACTGCCAAAGTCCCAACGAGTCTGGATTAACGACTTTTGACTGTATTAAACTTACACATAATCTGCTTTTACAAAGGGGAAAAAATTTATTTATAATTTTTAAAAATTTTAATCTTCAAAAAGGACCTAATAATGACTTCTTGGTTAATCTTTGGATTATGGTAACTTGGCAATTTTTTGGCGACCAAACCTGCTACAGCAACCTGCTAGTTTTTGTTTAAACGCCATTTTGTTTTCACGAAGTAAAGGCATGTTTTTTGTTTTACTCAACATTTTTTTTCCAACAATCTGCTAGCCAAATTATGCTTATGCTAAAACTTTTATGGAACAAAAGTGCTTAATCATGACGAAGATTAGGTGCAAAATTGGGAGAAAGTGCAGAATCGCAAACTGCTTGCCGCGTTGCACATACACGGTATCCATGTATATATCCATGTCCTACGTCGACCTATTTTCACTTAAAAAAAATATCCCAGAATTGCGCAAAAATGGCATTGCGCACACTCTTGACTTTATCCATGTACACTACTAAAGTCCTAGCTAGTAACCTTTATCGCCTTACCAAAATGTCGCCAAACTACATGTTACCATATTCCAGAGATTAGCCGACTTCTTTTATGCATTTCAGTTACAAAAAAAGATATATATTTTAATGCTTATGTCTGTAAATTTAATGCACATCAGTATATCTGGAAAATCTTATCAATCAAAAAGACACACATATTTATTGGACAAGACTCTGTCATCAAAAATGCTCATATAAGAGGAGGGAGAATAGGAACTCGTACACTGCAAATCAAAGGTACGTTTTTGCTAAAGAAAAACGGTTCAATTCCAAAAATTAGATACGAGTTTTGGCATGTCTAATACAGATTTTAAATCTTAATAAATGAAAGAAAAGTCCTGAGTTCAAAAATTGAGAGTTTCACATTTAACCCGAAATACATACACATATATACAAAAAAGAACTGCCCATTTACAAGTCTTATATACTTGTCTACATAGACGTTTCTCACTAAAACATACACAAAAATACATGAAAGTAAGATTTCATGATGCATTGAAATGTTCAGCAATTTTAGATGCTTCTCTCAAACCACTTAAATATGCTCCAGTGACAGTATTTGGAATATTCCTACATGTTACACTACCTGCAAAGTAAACTTTTTCATCTAAAGATTTTGTAAGATAATCAAATGCATTTTCTGAACTACCAACTTTTAAGTAATTGCCATAAGATCCACCATATTTTTCTTCTTTCCAGTTTGTTAAGAAATATCTAGTGGGCTGTGGCAATTCACTATTATCAGAAAATACACTTTTTAAAACTGACATGCATTTATCAATGATTTCTTCTTCTTTGAGATTAATAACCAGTTCCTTAGATTTCTGAACAATAAAAGCCATTAGTCGTGGAACATAATTCTTTTCATCTGAAGAAACATCAACAAACAAATGAAACACTTGAGGTGAGGATACAACAGCAAATTTCTTATAAGTCTTTTTCAGTTTTTTGTACCAGAACTTTTTAGGAAATTCTAAAATTAATTTTTCACAATAACAGTCACCCAGTTCTTCAAGTGCTTTATGATGTAAATCTGGCAACTCGGGGTAAAACCTAATGTATTCATTACGTAAAACCGAAATGGGCACAGTTACCAACACCCATGAGGCAATATATTCTCTCTTAGCTGTAATTACTTTAACTTGATCAGTACTATAATCTATCGCCGTGACCTCAGTATCATAGCATATTTTAAGATTACTGGCCAATTTCTTTAATAGTGCATTTAAACCACATGGTAAAAATCCATCTATTCCTTTTAAAGAAATGGGAAATTCCCAGTTTAACAAAGACATATCTTTTAAATTACCTTTCACATCAATTTCACTTTTCTCCAAACACAAATTAAAAACATCAGCATTGTTAGTATTCTGCGACATTTTCTTCAACTCATCATAATTGTTGAAAATTGTATCATACCAGTTGGAGTCTTTAAAACTTTGACCTGCACTTTCTATTGCCCCATGAATGAGACCACGTAATTCACAGTGTATTTTATTATTAATGGTTTCAGGCAGTTGTTTGCCATCTGATGCAAAAATAACACATTCTTGCTTTAATTCTTGAAATTCTTCATCGGCTTGAATTGCTAATACAGTTAAAGGGTTATTTGTGAGACCTTCCACAAAAAATGCACCACATCCTAAAAGTGGATCATCACAAATCCTGCCTCCAAAATGTGATCTAGCTTCCAGCACTATAACATCCATACCCAAATTCTGTAGATGCTTAGCAGCTGCTAAACCTGCTATACCAGCTCCAATAACAAGAGTTAATGGTACTGGATTTCTAATATTATATGCTAATGGGTTATGGATGATACCATAATTTATAACAGCTTTTGCTGTTAAATGTTGTAGAATATTACTTGTAATATTAAGAAGATAGATTCTGACAAGTCCTCTACAAAGTAAATACAAATTCACTTTTTCAATAGTTAACCATTCTGTAGGTGACAAATTCCACACTGCAACTATAAGATTTCGAATACCCAAGTAAGTAGCTGTACTAATTGAAAGTTTAATTATAAGTTTTCTCTCATCTTCATTTGTTTCATCTGGTTTAACCCACACAGGAGATTCTCCACACTGACCTATAAGAAATGGTTCAATATGAATGATACTTTTAAATATAGAAATACAATCGTTTGTGGGACATAGGCCAATATCTTCTGAAATAAAACGTTTCAAGAAAGGTGCTGCTGGTGAATTTTTTAAGAGAGGTTTTTCAGCTAATAGCCTCATCCAAATGGGATCAAAAACATGCAATACTTGTTCATCTTCAGGAACGTCACACCCTGTCAATCCATCAACATCTGGACACTTAAAATTACCTATAAATTTTGAATCAAGAAGTTCCGAGTCTCGAACTATTCTCCATTTCCCGCAATCAGAATTTGTACATTTAATCCAATAAGGCAGTAATTCATTTGCAACAAAGCGCTTAATATTAGGTTTGCTACCTCGTGCAGTATGTCCCCATTCATAAGACCAATTACTAAACTGCAAATTGCCACTTTTGCCAGACCTATAAAAATTGTCAAAACAATTATTACAAAAATGTTCTCCTATGGACATATGATACCAACGTGAAGTATATCCAGACACAACACAATTTTCACATGCTTGAAGACAACATGTTGGTGCTGCACAAGGACATCCTGCTTTTTCACAACCTCGCACCTTTTTATCTTCTGTAACACATTCATCAGCAGCATATTTTCGTTTCAGTGCTCTATCTGATATACGCCTTTTGGTGGTATTTGAATCAGCCATTTTTAAGTTCGAAATGTCCAGCATGAGAATAAATGGCAGCAATAGAAAAATAAACTAGATAAGACAATAAAACTTAGTGAGGAATACTCTCTAGTGCACAATAAAAAGTACTTTTTAGAGTTTTCATGACTATATCATTCGTCAAATTGTAATAATTTGGACTTAAATATTAAAACTTTCATGCAGTGCAATAATTATTGTTACTAAGACACTAAATGCAATAAATCATCGAAATTAGTACCTAGTTTTGAAGTATTCACAAGATGGAAATCTTGCAGACTGCCAAGCAGATGATTACTTCAGAATCACAATACTTAGTTTTCGTACTTCATCCTTTTAATACGTTTTAAAGCTATTTACAAAGAAACACTTCTCACGCACAAATACTGCATTGAATTTCCACAAGAATTGGAAGCTATTTGACAAACTTTTTATGATAGAAAAAACTTGTAATAAATGACACTATGATTACTATTGTTTTCACGCACGTGATGCCAAACTCCCAAATTCAGGAATTAAATTAAAAAAATATTATAAACTCTAATTGAATTCATGCTTTCACGTTTATTATTAGAAATATCAAACACTGCAGAATAATTGGCCAGACCTATTTCGCTTCATGACTGTAATAGAGAAATCACGTAATATTTGAAAACTAGAAACACGCGCAAAAATCCAAAAAAGCTGGTTGCCAATGTTCTTTAAATTAATCATTTTTACATGCATGAAGCTGAGATGGGCACAGATTTTTCTAAGCGCTCCAGTTTAAATGAATAAAATTATTAATTAGAAAGTTCAAAATCTGAAGTAGGCATCATAAATTTGTACTGGTATGGAATGTGGACTATATAATTAATCCTTTTCTCAAAATAGAATTCGGGAAGGCAACTGCTTAAATGCTCCTAACGGCATCAAAAACAATAAAAAATAAATTCTCAAATTTTCTTATTAATCAGTTTTGATAAGAATTTGATAAGAATACTAGTTTGACGAAAGCTAAGTTAGGAAAAACTGAATATTCCTGTCACAACACTAAAAATTTTATTACGCTGGGGTAATTTGCTTGGAAGAAAACAACTTTCACATTTTGCAAGAAATCTCTCGTTTGAGGATAAGCGGCACACTGAGTCCGTAGTCATTTATGCTTTCTTATTTTCTTTACAATGTAATGGCAGAATTTTAATATGTTTGAAGCTCCGCCGTTTTTGTCTTATTAAGTCAAAGAGTCATTTTTTCTCTACCATCAGCATTTGCCCAGTGATATGTTTTTTACTTAGACCTTTTTAGGTTCGTGCCTGGTCATTCTAGAAAGCTAGTGCTCATGCAGGCATAAGTTTAAAAAAAAAAAGCATTATATCTGGGCGTCATTAAGAATTTGAAAGTTTTCTACGATTCAAATAGCCATTCAAAATATAACTACAGTTAATAGACAAAAATATTTAAACATTCTTGAGGGTATGAATATGAGTTCACTTGCCTGGATTCAAATAAAATCATAAACAACTGAAAGTTGCTTCATTAAAGAGGAATTTCCGAACCCTGAGTCAAATGAAAGTGTGTACAATGAAACTGATGATAAATCTGTGATTATGGATGAAGAAGATTGGAAACTACTGCGATTACACATTGCAGTCGAGGAAATTGTAAGCTTTGATGCCAATGCAATGACTTCAGATTTATGCACAGTTAAAGAGCTGACTGAAAACATTTTACTTGATAAACATTTAAGTACAGGGAATGATGAAGGAAAATGAAAAAATACTTCCTTCTTCTTTTCAAAATGCTGTCTACTGCAATGACGCCCTCAGAAATTTCTTTGTGTGTAATCATTAATGCAGGATTTATGTATAAGCTACACAAGCTATAGCTTAGGGCCCCACAAAAAATTAAAATATGATATAACAGACTTATAAAATCCCCATATCTTAAAAAGCTTAGGGCCTTGTCAAGTCTAAATTCGGCTCTGGTAATCTTACAAGCGAGTAAACATTTCAAGAACATTGATTCATCGTGCTTTGTTTAAGATTTGGAATCAAAAGACACATTACACGACAATTAAAGCTATTTTCTTTAAAAAGATTTAGAATTTGCTTTAAAACATTCTTGGAAAAAAATTTTTGCTTATTCAAAATGATAATTCAGGTAAAGATCTGACACTTTTTTTTCAATTTTACGCAACTACGTGCAGAAATGTGCATACTTATAATTTTAAAAATATTAAATTTTCATTACTATCATTTCTAAAATATTAATTATGGAAATATTAAAATAGTTTTTTTTATTGAAAAATTAGTATTCATTAAATATTTATTAAAATTATAAATTTTAAATATATTTGAAAATATTTAACATTTTAAACAAATTGAAAGTATGATAATAAAATTATGTCGGATCAGTAGTAGGTTAGCAGCATGAAAATTGTATATTTAATATGTATATATATATATTTCGTATCGTAAAAAAATCTTCGTTTATAATTAGTTTGTGAATGGTTCCTTAAAAGACCTATAAACTTTGCGGCACTGCATTAACATCTTTAACATTTGTTCTTCGACGTGTTTGTTTTGTTATAATTATTATGTGGAATGTTAGATTCGTGTAGACAGAAGCTTTTATATTTAGCTCAGATAGAGACATAAGTCAGTATCAATCTACAAAGGTTCACAAAAAATGCTAAATCTTCCTCTGTATATCTTTTGTTGCTTAAATGTAGCATTCCTGTGCTAGATTTAGCTAAGGCTGTTTGTTCACGTTACTAAATATGTAGTTGGAAAGCCATGAAGCTCAGTATGTGGCTACAAAAAATGCAAATGCTTAGTGCTTTCATTCTCTCTCACCCATCTGTGAAAATGTAGCAGAACTATGATTTAATTTCGCATTACACTTGTGAAGACAGGCAATTAAACACGTGAAATATTATTGCTTGATTATTTCTGTAATATCCTTATCCATATTTCAATATTTGAATGGTGGGGACCCTTCAAAGATATAACACGGTACCTTTTAGCAACCTATCGCCTACAGATACGGATATCAGTATTACCAATCTATAGATAGACAATAAAAGTCGACTATTAGGCGAATGTGCTAAAAATCTAATCGCGCTGGAACTACGAAGAAAAGACTGAATCAGCTCAATATGCAATGGATTTTGTTTTCAGAAAATGTTTGGGAATACGTAGCTATTGTGACATTGGCAGCATTGTCCTAATTCAATGGCACAGATGTAAAATAACTTCTGTATTGTCTGAACTTAGTTCCAAAGCATTTCTGAGCAGTCCTTTCGCTGAATAATGACTGTGCGCAAACCAGTTCTCATCTGAGGAGAAAGTGAAAATAATGCTATGGCTGCAATAATCCAGGGGATTCGACAAGACAGTTCATTTCATGTTTTTGAACCATTATTAACAAATTGTAAAAATTTGTGGCATTCTAATAATGATTAATATATTATTCTGAAAAAGTCCTACAACTTTTCAACCAGTCTACTTATTCAAACAGTCCACTTTGGAAGAGACTTTAGCGGAGCGAGATGGGGAGAACTTTTGAAACTACGCTTAGAACAAAAGTGACAGCAGATTTAATAAACGTTATGAAATTCGGGGAAGAACGTTTCTGATGGAATTTTAATTCATAAATATATAACACTGTAGCGACATTAGGTTAATTGGAAAAGCCGCAGAGATGAAAAATTAGCAATCGCCTTCGCCGGGAATCGAATCACGGGCGTCTGGAATACCGGCCCAACGTGCAGAACCACTGCACCACGAAGGCACGCTAGGAAGGCGGGAGAAATACCTTGTAACACATAAAGACATAAGATTGAATATGCCCTACATCCTGATTCATTATGCAACTGCGTTTCGCAATGTATGCGGTCTTTGGTTATCCAGCTAGTTCATCGTACGGGACGCTATTTCTCGTATGTTATTATGGAAATTCTTAAATTCAATCCAAATCTTGAAATGCCGGAAAACATTTCAGAGAATTTCTACTAAACCACCAAAACTAAAACTGGTAAGACCTTTTCTAATTTATTAGATAGTGACGTTTCACCTCCTCTCCTAACACACAATGTGCGAAACGTCAAAGGTCATAAGTGAATTATCACCATATCTTGCAAGATAGCACAGGGAACTGGGAAGGGGTGCAAAAGACACTTTTATTTGACTAAAAGTTAATAGACGGCTTCACTCGTGCTTACAAAAGCCAACAATTCTTGCTTAAATTAAAAGTAATAGATTAACTAAAGAAAAGTTAGTTAGCATAGCGGCTGCACATTAGAATAACGCACAAGCTGGCTCTGACATAAGGTCTGCGTAATAAGCCTAATGGCGAGAATAATGCAAAGTCGCAGAATATTGCTAGCTAGAGAATTAATTTAGCTTCGTAGCCTTCAGCAAGCAGAACACGCTCTGAATCTACCCTCTAAAACCTTCCTTTAAATACTGTTTTGTTTCTACCTTATTTGAATACAACGCGAGCCAGAGATTTGCATTCTGGCAAGAAAATGAAAATGAGGAGGATAGGAAAGTTCATTAACATAAAATAACTGGTTAAAATCTAAACGAGACTTTATAAGTTATTAAATAATGCAGTCTATGGTTTTGGTTAAGATTTTTATCTTTTCAAGCCAAATTCAGTTGATTTTGATCATCTTGCCCATCTGCCTTATCGTAAAAAAATTTAAGAGAGAGATCTAAGAATCCTAAAGTAGTCTGGAAGTTGTCTTAGCTTCCTTCTTCCCTTCAAGATAATCCCGAAGTGATGCTCGGTATTATCTTTGTCATCAAACATATATGGCAATCAGTTTTTACACCAGCTTCATAAGCTATCGGGTTGTCCTGAAAATAATGCAGCTTTTTGATGCTAAAAATGTACAGCTTTCCTGTACATTTTTAGCAACAAAATTATTTTGAATTATACTGGTTTATATTTCATTTTTAAGTTTTATTTTCGCTCTATATTTCTATAATAATCATTTTGTTCCAAATTATTTAAAAAAATGTGTACTAGGTTTTTTTTATATAGATGTCAAAACGGGATTTTTGGTAAATTTACTTTTATGAGTAGAAGCTAGGCCACAGCGCAGCACAAACGGCTCTAAATGTCAAAGAAGTATGGGGCGAGGAAAGTGTTAATGGATCTACAGTTCAACGGTGGTACCAAAAGTTTCGCTGTGGAGAATTTGACTTGGAAGATTAAGAGGGTTATGGAAGCTCTTCAGTTGTTGATAACGATGACTTTAGTTGAAAGAACCCATGCACAACTGTTCGAGATCTTGCGGGGAAGCTTGCCGTAAGCAAAGCAAAGATTTCTGATCACTTGAATCGTATAGGAAAGTCAAAGAAGCTCGATAAGTGGGTGGCACACGAAATTGAGCGAAAATAAAAAAAAAAAAATCGCCTTTTTGAAGTGTCATCTGCTCTTCTTCTCCGCAACAAAAACGACCCTTTTCTCAATCGTATTGTTACCTGCGATGAAAAGTGGATTCTCTCTAACAACCGGCGACATTCGGCTCAGTGATTGGACCGCGGTCAGACACCACAGCACTTTCCAAAGGCAAATTTGCACCAAAAGAAAATTATGGTGGTGACTGTTTGGTGGTCTCATCACCACAGATTCCTAAATCCGGGCGAAAGGATTATGGCAAATAAGTACTGTCAGCAAACCGACAAAATGCACCAAAAATTGCGACGCATATGCCCGGCAGCATATAAGCAAAATGTACACTGCTAGGACAACGGCTTGAGTTTGGCCAATGACAATTCAGATAAGGGTCACCATAAACTCCGCCCACATGAGTGATGTCACATTT